AAAGGCACTGAATGTCAGTCTGTGCCTAATATACGCATGCGTACACTTACACATATGGTGTGCAATCCATATGTGGACATAAACTATACAAACACAGACACACAGGCACACACACACAGCAACAACAACCTCAACAACCATTAAATCCTATAGCGAAGGTGAGTAGAGGCTCTGAGGAAGAAGCGTAGTAAATTTAACAGGAAATAACAATAAACTATTATTATCGTAGAAGGGGCTCCCAAGCCAGACAGTCTGATGGCACACAATATACATTTAAAAGATATTTGTGGTTCTCACTGAGGGATACTGGAAGTGTTTGGGAGCTTTGATTACCTTCTGTCCTCCGCCATAGGTGCCCAAGCTTAGAAGAAGCAATACAAGCGCCCTACTCTTTCTCGCATTCCTCACTCCGTCCCTCAGGTCCGAAGTATCAAGGAGCATCTCGTATTCACATGGCTAGGTGATTTTTTTCTCTCAGAGCTGAGGTCTGAGTGTACAGAACCTGAACCAGAGGCTGGGCATGATGAATAGCAACTCCCATTTCCTTGGAAGCAAGGTGGCCAGGCTGTAGACAATGTTGGGAGCTGCGGAACTGGCTCTGTCCTGGCCTCTGCTGCTAAGGCGCAATCTGAAGATTTAAGGAATCAGTTCCTGTTTGGTTGGTCCTGGCTGACCCCAACATCAACTCCCTTGACTGAAAATAAACAGGATCTTCCTTTGTGTCCCCAGGAAGGCAACGGAGGAAGAATTCCAAGGGGGAAGGGCCTCTTCTGCCAAGGAACAACAACAAGGGTGACAGTGGGAATATAATACTTCCTGCTTCCTCCAGGGTGGTGAGGAAAGGCATCCTTGTGTGCTGACCCTCCTCTTCACAGGCCCCTTCAGAGTGCTAGAGTCATGGGCTCGAAGGTCCAGGTCATTCTTGGTTTCAACTTTACTGTCTTGTGGGCCTCTTGAGTGTTCTTATACACTCTGGGCTATACCTTCTTAGGGGTTCAGAAAACACAACCACAGTGACAGCACCTCTTATCGATGCAGGATTGCAGATATCCCTGGGCAAACTGGACCATTTTAACTGAAGCTGTGTGTTAGCTGAGGATGTCCCCAATGAGGTTGGGAATTGGAACAGCAGGGGAAGAGAAGCTTCTGACTCTCATCCTAGATCAGGCTGGTGAGAATCAATAGGGACCCCAAGGGAGAGGAGGCTTGCCTGATTCTCCCTTTCCTCCCAGTGCTCCAGGGGCTCGGGAGGAGTTTGCTCACCACGCCTTAACAGGGCTTGTCTTCCTTGTCCCCTCATAAACTCTTCTGTTCCAAAAGGAGAGTTTGTTCGCCTCTGCTGTAGGTTCCGAGGCAGAGTTTATCCTCTTCCCTGTGAAGAGGAAGGCCACTTAATTTCTCTTTTTGTTCAATCAGAGGGAAACAGAAGGATGTCCCCTCCTTCCCTTTCCAATATCTTTGGTCAGGAAGATAGGACTTTTTTCTCTTGTCCCTTCATCTCTACCTCTTTTCCTCCTCCTTCTTCCCTCCCCACCATTGTTCTTCTTTTCTATAGCTCCACCTCCAGAAGCTGATGGGGAAAAGCAGAGGTAAATCCTCTTGTTTCAGCCTGAGCCTCGGACAGCTTCATCCAGGGAACCTCCTAACACGATAGTTTGAATGCTTGTGTCCTAAAGTTCATATGTTAAAGCCTTAACCCTTTGAGAGTTAGGAGCTGGGGGTCTTTGGGAGGGACGGGGTCGTGAGAGTGGAGCCCTTGTGATAGGATTAGTGCTCTTAGGCCCCAGAGGGCTAGCTTGTTCCTTCCAGGGACACAGGGAAATGCAGCTGCCGGCGAACCAGCACGAGGGAATCTGCTGGCACTGGTCCCGGAATTCCCGGCCTCCATAGCTAGGAGGAGTAACTATCCAGTTCTCAGTTTGCCATCCAGTTGACAGAGCTAGCAGCTGGAATAGTCTGACAATCACTCTGATCAAGGACTTTCTGCAGTTCCTCACGGAACACACCAAAGCCTCCCTCGGATGGAGCGCTTCTGGTTTGTTTTGCAATCTCCCCATGATCCTTGCACATACTGTCAGCTGGCTTTCTTGGTGGGGTCACAGAGTCACCACTGTCCTAGAGTCCTAGAGGAGTCGCTAGGGAGGCATTTCCAGGCCAAACTAAAATCTCTTATAAGTCCAGGCAGAGGGTAGGAAATGATGGGGCCGTAAGGAAGAGATATTTCTTTAAAACACTTTTGTTATGCTTTATTATTTATTTTGTGTGTAACACATATGCACCAGGGCCTGCCTTCCTTCCACCCTCTGTCCCTCCCTCCCTCCTTCCCTCCCTTCTTCCCTGCTTCCCTTCCTCCCTCCCTTCTTCCCTCCCTCCCCTCCTTCTCCCTACTCCCTTCATTTTGTGTGCTAGGGACGGGACCTAGGGCCTCGCACATGCCAGGCAAGCTCTTTACCAATACCTCCAGCCCTGTAAGAGATATTGAAGATCATGTTATGGCATGGACTATTAGGAACTGAATGGGATGCACTGGAAGGTTTTGAGTTTTGAAATGAACCCCTGAGATTCTGTGAATGAGGGAGCAGCAGGAAGACAGTGCCCGAAGGGAGCAGGCCTGGCCCACTCTGGTGCCCATGCTCGACAGTGTCTGCTGAGCAGTCGGGCTTAGAAGATGCAGCCGTGTGTGAAGGGACATAAGAGGGGTCCCTGTTTCTGCACGGGCTTCTGTGAGTCACTTTCTGCTAAGCAGGTTGAAGTGAGAGGTGGCAGGGGAGGGCAGACTGCCGTGACTGCCAGGGCACTGAACTTTTCTTCCCTGTCAGGCGGGGAAGGCAGACTCTTGCGGACAACGGGTGAGGGAGAATGAGTAGTCCTGGGGCATCAGGCCTTGGGAGGCTCCCTCCCATCTTCTCTCTGAAAAGTAGCTTTCTGTTTCTGCCTGTCACTTTTGGCTTTTCCAGGAGCTTCCTAATGTGAAGACAGTCTGACTGCTTTTTTCTAGCTCCACTTGGCTATGGCCGCTCTTCCTATAGGACATGTGTGAAAGAGAGGGGCAGGCAGGCCAGCCTTCAGAGGCCAGCGCCACACATCACCAGGGTGCCATCCATGGCCTGCCTGCCTAGCGGTGTGTTAGGAACAGGGCAGTCTGGACAGAAGAAAATGCTCGACCACAGCCATAGCTGTCACCATCAGTCCTCTGGCCTGTGGCTTTTAAGTGTTGCCAAGACGCAGGGGACAATGACAACCAAAGCACTGTGACCATTCCCTCGTGTGGAGGTGGCACCCACAGTTATCTGTAGGTCTGTTGAGCTGTGGTACCTGCCCTGAGGGTGAGATTAGGACTCAGTCTTTCCTTACCTAGTTGAATGATGCTAGCATCCATCTGTGAAAAGGATAGAACGGACAAGTCCGGGGCTTGGGAAGTGATGCTTCACAGTGCTTAAGGAGAAGGGGTGGGGCGGTGAGATGGTTCGGCTGGTAAAGGTGCCTGATTCAGTTCTCCTGAACCCATATCATGGCAGAGAACCAACGTCTGAAAACTGCCCTCTGACCTCTTCATGTGTGAGTATGCATCTATGTCATAATGGGTGCGTGTGAGCACGCACACACATGTGCACGCGCGCGCGCGCACACACACACACACACACACACACACAATGTAATAATTTAAAAAGTAAAGAAGAAGGGAAGGTCTCAGGGAAGCCTCAGAAGCCAAGCCTCTTCCTGCCCTCCTGTCTCCAGCTCCTTTTGTCTCTAGAAGTGAGTCATAGAAACCATAATTTCACTTCCCTAAGGCCTGTCCTAGAAACCAGAGCCCCTCTCCCCCAGAGCAAGATTTACATCCTAGACTTCCTACTTGAAACCATCTTTCTGAGTGGGATCTGGTCATAAAGAAACGCTCGGAGCTGCCTTATGTGAGAGGGAGTCATTAGATCCTGATGCCAGAGGAGTCCCACCTCACTCCCTGGAGGAGGGAAGGCCACGTGGGATGTTGTGGCAGCCTTGCTGGGCTTCTCCCTTCAATCGGTTGCACTCAACATTACACCCTATTGTCCAACACACTTCTGTTCAGCTGTACACACACACACACACACACACCCCTCCTCTTTGAGACAGGGTCTTGCTGGCCTCCGACTGTGTCTTTTTCTATAGGAGTATCAGCCTCCACCCTTATGATGCATAAGGACTGGTGTCCCGAGGGTGGAGGTGGGAAGGCAAGAGAAGGCAGGGAGGAGTGTAGGAGCTACCTGCCCTGTGCTGGATTTTCTGGTCAGGGGATGGCAGTGGCCACTTCTGGAGAAGAAGGTGGGGTGGGAGGTGGGCAGGTGCTCAGGGGAGCCACATACCAAGTAAATAGCTTTGGTTCTCAATTGTCTTTTCCCTTGAGGAGAATAAGAGGATTCTGAAATTTGGAGACATTATCCATTTCCCTTCCCCTAACTGTCATCACAGTCAAAGGCTTGGAGGGGGCGGCGCATGGTGAGGGCATGTGGTAAGAGCCTGGGTTGTTTGACCGGCTGGCACAATTCAACTTCGCTTTCCCTCTTACAAATAGAAACTCCATCCTACCAGGAGCCCCATTCCCCTTCCCCTACCTAACCTTCCCGGCCAAAACTGTGGAGGGAACTTTGGGTGAAGAGGCCCCTCCTTCCAGCAATGGAGGGCAGTTACGTAACCGAGATTGTGAAATTCTGGGAAGGCCCAGTTCTGAGCCAGGAACTAAGCACGCCCTTGATGGAGACCTCCTTCATCCCGAAGCCCGAGTCTGATGAAAGCAACAAAGTTCTGGGCTTTGGGTTTTAGAGGGGGCACTTCTTGGGGGCGCAGGGACCGGGGAGGAACGGGGCAGGGGAGAGGCATAGTCGCGAGGGGTCCCCACGTTAGGTGCAGCGCAGCGGGTCACCTGTTGCGAGCTGCCTGGCGGCCGAGGTTTAAGTGCACCCCGTCTAGCTAAGCAAGCGGTTGCAGCGCAGCTGCGCGTAGGTCTCTGTGGCAGCCGGCGCCTGGGGCTTCCGCCGGTCAGCTGACCGCCCAGTGCGGAACTGCGCCGCCCGCTTTGCTCAGTGCAGTCCGCCGCAGGGTCCCAGCCACCATGGCTGGGATAGTGGTCAGTGGAACTCAAGTAAGTCGGTCCGAGCAAGCCCCATCAGTCCTGGGGCCCAACTGGGGATGGGAGGGACAGTGAGGCCCCGGGGTCTCCAAAGCTTAACTTGAGCGCCGTCTTCCTGGGATAGCCGCATGTGCAGGTGATTTGTGCCAAGTGCCCATACTTGCTCTAATTTGAAGAGTTCAGACCTTTCTTTTGATCATGGCACATTTCCTGGCCATGTGGTGAGCAGCCCAGACCCCTGCCTTCCTCTGTCCCTAGAGTCACACTGATCAACGCTTAGGGACTAACTTCGCCTTGAGACCCTTGTCCTGGTGACTCATATTTTTCAGGACCCACCAAAAGTGTTTCATTTTCTTTTTTCACAGTCTTGGTTTTAAAAGAATTTTTGGTGTGCAAGAAAATGTTTTAATAGGCGACCATTTAGCTGTTGATACTAGGGCAACTGTACTGTAAAACAAATGGACTGATACATTTCCACGGAGGAAGGGGGGCAAGGCAGCACAGTGCACAGGGTCACCAGAGCCACAATGTGCCCTCTGGCTGGGTGCTGGCCGCAGCTCAGCTACCAGAGTGATCTTTTTCCACAGCTGGTGAAGGCCCTGGGTCCTCTACACTTTTTACTTGGTCTCTGCTTTCTTGAAGAGTTATCACTAGGACATGGATGGCAGCACCGGACAGTAGACATCTAGCGGTACCCGTTTTCAGCCTCGTAGTAAGGCCTGCAGTGTTTGGAGAGAACTCCATCAGGCCTGGCAGGGGCCCTTTATCTGCTAAAAATGAAGGTTTCTCTTTTGCTTCTCCGGTCCCTCTCGTGAAGCCAGTGCTCACCTTGCCAAGTTCTTCCCCATCCTAGGGAAACAGTCGTGAGTTTTGAAAGCTCTCCCTTTAGTCTGGTGGTGTGAGGGACTAGGGAATTGTCCTTCCTTAGATGCCTAGAGGTTTTACAAGTCGGAAACCCAACAAATGCCAGCCGTGAGCATCCCACCAAACTACTCTTTCCTTTTTCAGGAGTCTGGTATCTTCCTCATTTACTGAGTGGCTACTGTGTGCCAGGCACCCCTCAGGTGTTGGTGGAAATGAGCTGAGGTAGCAGCTCTCTGCTGCATCTATTGACAGCTTTGTCTCCTAGTACCGCTGGCTCTGCCTGGAGCCTCCGACAGGCACAAGTCCAGAGTTCAGGAGGGAGCCCGCCAAACTGCTGTCAGCCTCGGCTAAGTGGCTAAAAGGGAGGATCTTATTCTGAGCCAGGGAAAGGGGGCTTCTGGGAGTGAGTTTGACTTCCTAGAAAGAGGTGTGTGTGTGTGTGTGTGTGTGTGTGTGTGTATAGGGGCCTGCCCCTGTGTGTATTTGCCTAAGAGGCAGGGTCCCTTCATGCCTATGGTGGACTCTGCATTTCCAGTCCCAGCATTCTCTTTGTATAGTTTTTTCCAAGTTCCCGGAGAACTTAACAGTGAGGTCGAAACTTCCCCAGACTTCCTTTTTCTTATCTTGTCCTTCTCAAGACTTGGCGTTTCCTGTGCCCCTAACGGAGCCTACTGCCCAGGGCTCAGGGGCATCCGCTGACTTGTGGGTGGGACGTGTTGAACCCTGTCCAGTATTTCAAGATAAAGTACTGGGAGGAGCTAGGAAGGCACAGGGGTATCTGGGGTGTTATTGTCTCCTTTCATACACCATTTAGGTAGTGAATGTGAGTGCCTGACTCTGGGGTTAGAGTATTTGCTAGCGTTCGCTCCACATAATTTATAACAGCACCTACTGTGAAATATAGCACCTTGAATGTTTATGATTCTGACAAAAAGTTCCTTCTTGAAAAACCACCTATTCAACAGGGTGCAGTGTAATATTTCAATACATGCATCTAGTATATAATGATCAGAAGATTGGAATTGGTATATCTATTATAGTAAATGCATATCATTTGGTTGTTTATGCTAGGGGCTTGCAGTCCATTCTTCTGGCTGTTTTGAAACACACAAAGCACAATAGATTGCTACTGTGTGTTATAGAACAACAGCAGGTACACCCGTCGCTACTGTGTGCTATAGGACATCAGCAGGTACATGCTTAGCTACCGTGTGCTA